TTTTTGACTAGTGTTCGGTTGCTGCTCGCCCTGTTTCTACTGAGTCTAAATCGGTACTAACCGTCCCAGGGATTGAACTCACATTTTGTATGCCATCGAATTCAAAACTTGTCTTGGTTGATTGCCTTTTTAATACAAACACAGCTAAGTGTTAGTCCTAGCAATCGCTGATCAGTAAAAAAAAGAAGAATTACGCAATACGAGATAGCCCTAGATATGGGCAGCGGAATGAGAACAATCTAACCCCAGAGATTAAATAAAGTGTTTTGTTCGAAATTCTCTGAAGGTCATCCGGATGCGATACATACCTGAAGCAGGTTGGAGAGCAGTCGAAACGTTGTGATAATTACAAACAAAATAGAATACACATTGTTTTTATTTTTAGAATTCAAACTCGAAAATTATTTCGTCTCCCAAAAGGAGACGGTTAAGATTGGTATCTACGAATCACCATAGTTTAATGACCCGACAAATTCAGAATATATATATATATATATATATAAAGTCCAACCCTTACCTCACAGTCGGTGGGGGGGGGTGTAAACGGTAGTGTCAGAGCTATGCCGTCCGGAACTTCGTTCCTGGTAGGGCCACCCAAGGCGGACAGGTCTGACACACACGCCGGCTAACAAGGGCTCTGGTGAAAATCCAAGGAGCGTCTGCATCGGCAACCGGCGGTTTCTGGTCGTTCCTGTCTCTGCGTCTGTGGGAACCCCGCGGCAAGCAAGAACGTTATCCGAGTAGGCCTGGGTTTGCCCTACTTCTGTAATTTATCCCAAGAATCTTCTTCTCATAACAGGAAGAAGCCGGCTCAATCCGCCCAGGGTGAATGCCGCATCACACACACACACACACATATATATATATATATATATATATATATATATATATATATATATATATATATATATATATATATATGCTACAAAGAGTCGATTTTTACTCTGTCTGTTCTTTCTCTCATTTGCATATATATATATATATATATATATATATATATATATATATATAAAAATTAATTGATTTAAAATATGTTTTTTCCACTACACAGTTTTAACCATGTTTCAAAAATGTAAAAATAAAATATCTATAAGAACACCGGATTATATATCTTACTGTTCTTTCTTTCTTTATATATATATATATATATATATATATATATATATATATATATATATATATATATATATATATAGCTGGACACTCGTATTCGAATATACCTGTCTACTAGGGCAGCTTGTGTTTGTTTAACACCCACAGAGCCAACCTGTGTTTTATACTACAACTATGCTGAGCAGACCTTAGTTACAACAATCAGAACAAGGCCAGCACACTTACACCCCGGTCACGATGACTTGTGACTTCGTGCTAGCACAGCTAACGACGGCCCCAAGTGTTCCATCTACCTAATTTCACTCACAAAGCTTGGGTCAATATATATATATATATATATATATATATATATAAGTGTGTGTGTGTGTTACTAATGAATTATTAGGGTGCGTCTTAAATTCTGACAAATGTTTCCTTATCTGCTGGTATATTCTTTATTTATCATTAGCGTTTTACAGCCATTTTTTTTTTCGTTCAAGTGGTCCATCAATAAAAATTACCAGTCTTTAATTTACGGTCTAGTACTTTTTTCATTTGACAATATAGCGTAACTAATAACCATATAATGTTCTAATATATTATCGTTTCATTATGAACTGTATTAGTGCGACTATCTAATGTCATATCCTTTGGCATGGAGACAATCATTCTCTCCAAAGCTTCCTTTTCGATTAGGATTCCAGATCCTTCTGAAGTCTTCTCGTTTATTTTCAACCCATTAACCCTTGCGTCTTAACGCCTTGCTTAGGATGGGATCATTAAAAAGATTTCAATTGTGCATTGCCATAATTGTTATTGCGAAACAATTTCCCACAATTTGAATTCAGAGTTGTTTTTCTACTAAAAGGCTGTAGATTGTAGTGTTTTTTTTTTCTATTTGACCCAGTGAGGAAATGGGTTAATACTTTTACTAATCGCATTAGCGCAAAGTGAACAGAAAGTGTCTACTTCTTCAGATGCCGTTTCCGTTTTCAGGACGTAGGCGATCATGGCTCTCCACAATTTCTTCTTATTGTGTCTCTTAATAAATTTTATCTTTTTATTATCTCTCCTGAAATTTGTTCTGCCAACCATTTATAAAAATTCGTTAGATCGGTTAAGCGTTCGTTTCATCTGTTCCTCTTGCCTTCACTATGTCTAGTGAGTATCAAATTTTCCAAGCACTCTTTCCTCGTCATGTACCCTAGAAATATAAACTTTTTCTGATTCTAAGTATAAATGCCCTTTTCTTTCGCTTTTCCCTAAAATGTCCTCGTTGCTCACGTGTTCAATACATTGTATTCCCAACATTCTTCGAAAGAGACTCATTTCTGTGTCTACAAGTCTATTCTTTATATGTGAAGAGATTGCCCAGAATTCACTGCCATATCGGAGGAATGATATTACATAACAGTTTAGTATTCTTTTCTTTGTTTCTAACGAAATTTTCCTGTTTCCTAATACTTTGCTTAGCATTTGAAAGTCATCTTCCACTATTCCAATGCGCCTTCGGATTTCAGTGTTGCATTTGCATCCTCTGTTCAAACACTTCCTTATGTAAAATGTTAAACTTGCTTGATTTTGGTGCTTCCAATTCGAAGTTCACATCTTGTGCAGTTCCTTCTGTCTTCTTGCAATTGATATTTACTCCTTTCTTCTTGCTTTTCTTCGATACCTTCTCTAAGAGTAGCTCTTGTTTCCTTTCCGTGTCTGCTATCAACACTGGGTCATCTGAATATCTTATATCGCTAAGATTGTGGCCAGCAATAATGAAACTTGCGTAGGACTTCTAATACACTAAGGATCTCTTGATGGTAAAGTTTGAAATACATTTGGCGTGAAAGATGTATCCTTCTTTTATGTCCCTTTCTATTTGTGTGTATGTTTGTACGACTACATATCCTAAAGTACCTCCACAAAACCGCTAAAAAATCAGCATACCGTAATTAAAACCTTCTCTAAACGTAATGAAAACACAGTTTTATCGGCAAAATCTTTATATTATTATTAAGAGAAAGGATCAAAGTATTTTCGATTATTTAATTAAATTTTTATTCTTAGAAAATCCAAATTTTGATTAAAGAACTTGTATCTATTGCGGTTCTACTAACTTTTAGCAAATTGTAATACCTTTTCTTTGTGGTGACCTGACATATTAATTTGGAAATTCATGCAAAAATCAAATAATTGTTGAATTTAAACGAAATTTTCAGATATTATTTACAAGTGATTGACATTATTTTTTTTTAATAGAAAATCTTGTTAAAGATATATTTTTTACATGATTTTCAGCCCTTTACTTAATCTGTTCTGAATTGAAAAATAAAAAAAACGCAATAAAGCTAAGATATTATTTAATTAGAGAAGCTTTTAATTGTTTTTATGAATAATATATATTAAAGACAATATTAACTAAAGAAAACAAACAATTTTCGACGAAAAATGAGTTTTTACAAGATTTGTTCTCATTTTTTTACAATTTTAAATTGCATAATTTATAAAGTTTTAAATCTTTTAAAACTAATTTTCAATGTGATTACTCTTAGGAAATATTGTTAAGTAAAACTGTATTTACAAATCATGTATTGTAAAGCTTATTATAATGTGACGCCCCCGAAATATTTTTAAAAGAATTTAGATTTGTTTTTGTATGCGTGATTACGTGCAGAATTTCTGACGTATAGATGTTCAAACCGATAAATCTATCATTAAAAGGTCACGTGTTTTAAGGCCTGTCCCCTCTTACGGCGAATAAAACGCTCGTGAGCTTTAACGTCTGCTCCACCATACACGTTGGGTCGGTGTCAATAATTCGATTAACACGTCAGAAAACAAGACCATATAGGTAAGAAATATTTGTATACATTTTATGCTATAAATAATATTTGTTTCAAATCAGATTAATGTAACTTTAAATTTGCTATCTTTTTTTCAAATAACGTTTCAGAAATGCATATTTTATTTTTGCAAGATTTTAAAAATAGAGAATTAACCTTTGTTTACAAATGAGACAAAAACGTCCGTTTTGATCGATTTTACTGAAAAATAATCGATTCCGATAAATCTAATTTTTGTTTGAAATACCACTCAGAATATTTTGCTTACTGGAAATAGTAAATTTAAAATCCTTTAGCTTTCATTTAAAGCTAAAATGAAGTGTTTAAGAAAGCTTTTTCATTTTTTAAAAATTCATTTTAAATCTTACGTATAATGAATTAGTGGAGGTACCCACCCTAATATGTATTAAAAAAATAAATCCTACAATTTCTTCAGCCATTAACAACTGTAGGCCTGCGACGAAGTCAATCTCGAGAACGAATGATAAATTCGACAATTCTGTCTATAGAAGTACAATTGCTTAGAATACTACCGTAATATCTTAGTCAAATTCTTAGTCAAATTCTTAGTATCTTTGAAGACAACAACAAAAAAATCTTAGCATATACAACATATTTTAAAAGTATCTTCATTAATGTATAGAAATTGTAACACTCAACGACATCATAGGCTTACCTTGCGAAAGAATATTTAGATAATATTTGCGTGTCTTTTACAGATTCACATTGACTTAGTGAACTTTATACAGATATCAAAGCCTGAATCAGCCTAATGTGACATGATGTGCAACAGTTAAAGTGAGCGAGAACCCAGCGGGAAAGATTATATCAAATACTATGTGTTTTATTATTATTTTATTTTTTTATTTACGTATATTAAATATTTCATACAAACGTCAAGATACCTGTTGTGAAAGATATCTTATTTAAAGAAGCGCCATTTTTCATACACACAGTATCAAGCAACAGAAAGCGAGTAAGCCAGTCGCCAAAAATCCAGTTACCATAAATAAAATTATATCATCTACTGAATTATTTTTTTATTGTTTTTAACAGAAATGTTCGAATGACGGGGATTTGGCTAGAAAGAAAGAAAGAAAGAAAGAAAGAAAGAAAGAAAGAAAGAAAGAAAGAAAGAAGTGTTTAATGTCTCCTGCCATTACCTCATAAATAATGAACTATTCCGTTTTGATTGCGTAGAAAAGCAAAAGATATACGATACTTAGTTTCACTGAAAAAGAAAGAATGAAAAAAGAAAGAAAGAAAGAAAGAAAGAAAGAAGATAGAAGTGTTTAATGGCTGTTTCAGTGAAAAAAAAAAAAGTTGTCAATTCCAAATCTTTCCATTTGTACCCACTTCTTAAAATAACAACCGACATTCATATTTATGATTGTGATTGCAACATTTAATTAAAGTTGTAAAGCTCAAATATTGAACGATGCAACAAGAGAATTTCTACGGATATTTTTTTTATTGTCGTAGAACCTGCCATGAGCTTACTTCATCATCACCTAAAGATTTTTCATCGGAATATTTAGTTCGGAAAACCTGAAATTTTAGGGGTCCACTAATATTTATCTTACATTCATAGTTTTAATACCACAATTTCGATCCTGATATACCACATCTGATTGGGAAATTGGAAAAAACTATCAATAAAAATTAAGCAAAAAGTCCTTGTCGGTCGAATGAAATAAGACATATTTCGATGAAACATAGCCGCCTAAATATTCCCTATTTAAGTTACATTGAATTAACGAATTCAGTAAATATACAAAAATAAAAAAGGGTGTAAGACAAGAATTTATCTTTTTATTGGATTTATTCAATATAAACAGTAAGGTGATTCTGAAAGAATTAGAAATCCTACCAGAATTCCTATTTGGTGGTGACAATCTTAACAACATAAAATATGCTGATGACAGTGTTGATAGCAGACATAGAAAAGAAACGGCAAGAACTCATATAGAATGTAGTGAAGAAAAACAGTAAGAAGGGATTACATATCAGTTGCAAGAAGAATTTGAGAGAATTAGAAATCCTACCAGGATTCATCATTGGTGGTCGCAATCTTAACACCATAAGATATACTGAACAATCTTAGCAACATAAGATATATTGAAGAAAAGGGTATTCATACATAGAATCAGAAAAATAACAGTGTTAATTTCTAAGACACTTAATGAGGAAAGAGTGCTTAAAAAATTGATACTCACAAGACATAGGGAAGGCAAGGGTGAAAAACAAAAGCATCGAGTAGCCTATATAAGTCTGTGTACGTGATTGGCGGGTTTATGATTAGCAAAAAGACAAAAGTTGCTAAGAGCTACAAATGAGATGGTCACAAACGTCTTGAAAGGACACAGCACATAGAAGAAAAGAAGAAGAAGAAGAAGAAGAAGAAGAAAAAGAAGAAGAAAAAGAAGAAGAAGAAAAGAAGAAGAAAAAGAACAAAAAGAAGAAGAAGAAAAAGAAGAAGAAAACGAAGAAGAAGAAAAAGAAGAAGAAGAAAACGAAGAAGAAAATGGTTTACATGCTAGAAAAAGACTTATTAGAAGAAACACAAGTCAGTTTTTTAACTTGACTATCTAAAATGTGTAATATAAAGCAACTTCATTCATTAATACTGTTTTGAGTTACTATCCTGTTTGTTGTTGTATTGATCCTTTTTCAAGTTAGTTCGACGGCCTTCCTCAAGGGTATTTTTTATTTTATTTTCGCACACGCAAAAGCATATACATTTTTGTTGGTCTCTTGAAGGTCGAGTAAAATATAGCTTGAGAGAGAGAGAGAGAGAGAGAGAGAGAGAGAGAAAATGCGATGTACAGCTAGATAAAGTCGGAGAGTCCTATGGCCAAGATCAATCGAAGAAGCAAAGATCAATAACAATAACAACATATAATCACTTTCCTTCATTCAACATTAAATTACATGACGTAGCATTCGCCATAATTTACCTTGATTTTCAGTTAACCTGAAGTATTTTTGAGTCCTACTAAATTTAAAAATTATATTAATACTTGCTTAAAAAAATAATATCCTTTCATTTTCCTCGATAAGGTTTATCAGAAGACGAAACGCGTCGACTAAACAAAGTTTTCCTTTTGTCTAAATAAAAATATAGTTTTAACGTATGCTTTATTTATGGGTGAAAATATCCGGTATAAAGAGTATACAAATGTAGAAGTGGACACTGAGGTCAACTTCAGTCGGTTCCATGCTTAAACACAATCTCCAGGCCAGTTTTATTATTTTAATTTTAGCACGTAAGTGAATATAAGGAAGAGGCAGATGAAATTTCTACGACACCTGATGAGAAAGGAAGGCCTGGAGAATCTGATACTCACAGGTCGAATAGAGGGAAAAAGAGACACAGAAAAACAGCGCATGACATACCTGGCGTGCTTGGGAAGGTGGATTGCGGAGCGTGGTCTGGTGGAGTTGGCAGAAACACAAAACCTGTTGAGAGCCACAAGGATTAGAGGGAAGTGGAGGGCCATGATCGTCAACGTCCTGAAAGGACACGGCACATAAAAAAGAAAAAAAATGAAATCGACTGGAATTTGAATTCGGCTCTCCGATTCCTCAATCCCAACTGCTAACCATTACACAATATTAAATATTACATAGCGTTTTCGCCACTCTTTTCCTTTGTAAATAAATTTTCCTTTCTCTTTACACTTTAATTGGTTTCTAGAGGGCATCTTTTGCTATTCCTATCGGCTTTCGTATTTCTGTGTCACTTTTTCCTTCATCTGTTGCTACATTTCTGCCTTCAGCACAATGGCGACCATGACTCTCCACAACTTATTTTTTTGCTGCTCAATGTAAGTTTGTACTTTTTACCATCGCCATTTATTCTTGTTGCGCCATCCGTTCAGACAAACATGTTAATCTGAATAATTCACGATAAAAACAACGAGAAATATTAATCTCAGAAAACAGGATTACTTTGTTAAATGAAGTTTTGCGATCGTAAGGAATAGTTTTTTTTTTTGTTTGTTTGTTTTTTTTTAAATCTTCTAAAATCTATCGAGATAGATTCGGAGCGGAGTAGAATTGTTTTGTTTTTTTATCTAGTTCTTATAAACACAACAGCAATTACTTATCTGCAGAGCTATTAAGAAATGAAATATGGCAGCGAATTAACATAAGCCGCGATGGTTTTCCGAAAATATAAATTCGGCTCTTCAAGAAATCATTGACGTCATAGGGTTTCTTGAAGAACTGAAATCTCTCTCTGTGTCTCTCTCTCTTTCTACAAATAGACAGCTTTTGAATAAATCTATTGTTTCAATATATATAAATACCTTAATTAAGGATATATATATATATATATATATTATATATTTAAAAATATATATAAATATTTATTTAAAAATATGATTCCAACTCGCGACATAAATAATTATATTTATGCTCTACTTTTGTATCGAGCACTATTTTTTAAAAATAATAACTAAAATACTAAAGAACTTTGGATTATTTACCTAACCAGTTCTTTCCTATTTTCTATATATTTTCACACACACACACACACACACACATATATATATATATATATATATATATATATATATATATATATATATAGGAAAGGGTAGGGCAGAAAATCTGCATACATGCATATATACGTATAAATATATTTCTTTATATGTGCATACATGCACATGTACGTATAAATATATTTCTGAGTCTGTCTATATTTCTGTATTATGTACATTATTTACATTATTCGGACTATTGTCCTCATCTTTGTCGCCATATTTATCACAACGTTTCGGCCGTTGTACGCTCCGGTCTTTTTCAGGTGGTTGGAATTTCGAACTGAACCCTTTATTTCGCTGGACTGGTCTAGTTCCACGTGCCATGTTTGATGGATGTCAGTTATCAGTTATCTCCTGCTAATTTCCCTCTGAAAGTTCTCCACTGCCATAACCGGGTATTGTACTCACACTCTTTGGGTCCTGTCACTGGATCTAACCAACGCCTTTGTGTCCTTCCTCGTGTGTTATAAATACAGAGCTCGATGTTATGACACAGAGCTAGAAGTATATATAAGTGAATATATATAATATCCAACGTCGATAGTACGTTTCGGAGTTTCATATAGTTCATGCAATCTTCAGGTGCAAATATATTCTGACCGTTATATTGTTCGCGTTCGCGTGGTGATGATTCAAAATTATGTGTTAAAACTTGTTCACCTACTTTTGTTTGCACCTTTATGTTATATTTCTAACCTGTGTTCTAGTTTAAGTTAATTGGTATAACGAGGGTATTTTATGTAAAAAGATGAGAGTTACTCCCCTTGATATATTGTTTACATTTTAATCCAAATTCAAATTTAATTTTTTTTTTATTCTTCGCCTTTCGAAATTATGAATTTGAATTATATAAATTATCAATATTTAATTCTAATATTTTACTCATCAATAATTAAATTCTAATATTTTACTCATCAATAATTAAATAAACAAGATTTAACACGTAATTTTGAATCATCATCACATAAGGGTCAGATAAGATAAGATTGCATGAAACTCCGAGTGCTATCGACGTTAGATATTATGTATATTCATTAATATATATATATATATATATATATATATATATATATATATATATATATGAATTGAATAGATGAATTACTTAATTAGGATTATATCAAATCCTTCTAAGAATTTCTAATATAAATATATATATATATATATATATATATATATATATATATATATATATAAATTTTATATATAATAGAAATTCTTAGGAGTATTTCAAATAAAATTTCTATTTATATATATATATTATATCATATATATATATATATATATATATATATATATATATATAAAATAGAAATTCTTAGGAGGATTTGAGGTAATCCTAATTAAATAATTCATCGAGTCTAGAAGAAACCACTGAGAAAGCACTGGACGGCCGTTTCGTCCTATATTTGGTACTCATCAGCAGTGCGCATTCACTCTCTCTCTCTCTTTCTCTCTCTCTTTATATATATATATATATATATATATATATATATATATATACTGTTCAAAGAGGTCAGAGGGGAATGACCCAGCTTTCACACTTGCCTAGAGTAGAGGTTTATCCCTTCTTTTGTTTTTAGAATTGGATTTCCGGTTCCTTTGGAAGTTTTTTCATTCTCTTTCTCTCCCAGTATCACGCAAACGTCATATCAACTGTACCAACGGGCCTCGGTGACGATCAGGTAACGAATTAGACTCGATATAGCGCCGCTCGATCACATATTCCGTGGTGGAATCCATCCGAGTATCCTTTAACCATAGGATTATGCCCTCCCCCACTATATATATATATATATATATATATATATATATATATATATATATATATAAAATATATATATATATATTGATGGATATCACAAACTTTTTGTAAAATCCGTGCTTAAATCTAAGATCAGTTTCTGCAACCACTACCGGTGTAACATACTTTCTTTCACTCCCACGCAAAACATCCCCAATCAACATACGGATACTACCAGACAGGAAAAAAATACCCCCTAGAAGCACACACACACACACACATTATCAACCAAATCCCACATAGACAAACTAAAATTATTATACACAAAACACGCAAAAATTATACACTCGAACGCTACTAGACAAAACAAATACACGTGAAATTTACTTAACCAATGTAAAAAAAACGCATACACACACACACACACACACACACACAAAATATTCATCACGAACGCTACCTGACAAAACAATACAGCTGAAACCTACTTACCCAATGAAATCAAACAACAAAAAAATAAAAAAAATACCTTCTTCAGCTATAAGAACATTATCCAGTATTGACTGTCATATCGAAGGACAGATAAAATAATGTAGCAGTATAACTCTGTTTCTGATGACATTTTCATATCTATTAATATTCTTTTAGTTTCTGCGGTTAAGGTTTTATTTAACTTTCCTTATTTAATAGCTACAACTAAGTATAAAATACAACATTTAAATTAGAAAAATTAAATAAAAAAAAAACTTATCCGCTGTACTTGTTCAGTCGTTTTTAGTGAAATTTCTATAAAAGCAGGACTGCTACTCAAATTCACAATTATTAAATTACATAACCCGGCAGTCAACAAGGAACGTAACACTACAACATTCAGAAAAAACAAAAACAAACTTGTTTTATGACAAATGACAGCAGCTAAAAATGAAATCCAACAATATAAATAAAAAATTAATTAATTAACCACAGTATCTGTCAACCATTTTTAATGAAAGCCGTGGTATGGTCTACAGACAATTTCCAAAGGCGCGTGATTGCCTCCACAGGCCGATATTATGAAGAAGTCATATTCCTGACAAAACAACCATGGTGAGATTCGAACCCTAGTCTCATGGTCAGAAACATATATATGTAGAGGAAAAAGTGTGTGAAAAGAAACACAGCTCTCCAAATTTAAATAATTTTATTATTGAGTATAAAAATAATTTTTTTTCTTTTAAGTTGGAAGAAACAAGCAATAAAGTTCCTCGCAAACAAAGCTCACGATTTTTTTTCAATATAAAAGGAATGAATTGTGATAATATAGGGTTAAAAGTATGTGTGAAATTATCATGAGAAAATCCACGATTTACGTTATATTAAGTGTATGTGACGTAAAATTAGCAGCAAGTAGTATCAGCGCGAATACAGCTACGATTTGTTTATGTGTGGCTTCAATAATGTAAACTGTGCAAAATGGTTTATGAAAATACTTTAAAACCGAGAAGTCACTTACAAATAGGTACTTAGTACTCAATAAGCATTTTTTAATGTGCGAAAATTTGAGAATTCAATATAGTTTAAAATCCCCGGTGGATTCTATGCTGAAGCCTAGGTTATTAATTTACGTTATGCTATTTATAAGAAAAAATGGGATCACCGGAAGTTAAAAGTTACATTGATTAAACTCAGACGTTTTATTGGTTAATAAATATATTTCCATATTTCCCAAATTTTGTAATGCTACTTTTGCACAGAACTGACATATATATATATATATATAGTGTCCTCCAAAAATGAATACACACTTCAGAAAAGAAAAAATGTATAGATATTGCAATGCTAATTTATTCAGACATCACGAGATTAGTACTAGATAACTTTGGACTCGACAGGAGATGCTCAAAATGTGGCCTTTAGCTTCCAGATATTTATTAGTACAGCGACCTACTTTTTGCACAACGCTGTCCAGTGGGATTGTTGCACATGCATTTTCAATTTCTTGTCTAAGGGCCGGAAATCTAGTCGGTTTTCTGAAATACACATCTTTTAGCACCACCATAGGTAAATCTGTAGGAGTTAAATTAGGAAAAATTACTACAGTAAACAGTGTTATCACAGTTTGGTAAAACCACGAAATATAGGTTTTTCCTTACCTAAAACGTGTATACATTTTTGGAGGATTCTATATATGGTGGACTCTGCGCGAAATAAGTGAACCCCTAAGATAACATTAAAAACATTGTCTTTTTTTCGCCAGATAATCAGCAAATCTTAATTAAATTATATATTCATTACGAAAACCATTTATTAAACGAATTAAAACACTTTAAAACTTGTATATCAAACTGGAAAAATATTTATAAATAATTAATAATTAACATGTAAATTAAGTTAACTCTTACATTTGATATTTGGTTATTGCTTCCTTTGCGATAACAGTTCCAATCAGTGTTTTTCTATAATTCTAAAGAAGTTTCGGGTAGTAGTAGGTGCCGATATTTGACCATTCTTCTTGACAAAACTCACACAATTGCTCGATTTTACTTGAGTTTCTTGCATGTACTGATTTCTTTAACTTGAACCACAGATTTTCAATTCGGTTTAGATCAGGATTTGGTCTAGACTATTCTTTGAGTTGAAAATACTTTTTTTGAACCCATCCTTTCATTGATTTCGTTTGATGCTTTTGATCATTGTCCTGCTGGATGATCCCGCTGTTAACCATGTTCACCATAGTCTATGAATATAGAATACAGCGCAGTACGTAATCTGTTCAATAAAACAACTCACGAGTCAGACACTCTACTGAATCTGACTATATCGCCAATACGACCAGAAGCTGAAATTACTTTTTTTTTTAACCCATCCTTTCATGGATTTGG